CTAATAATCATTATATAAAAGAACAAACCAAAACCAATTTAAGTCAAATAGATCCAATGAAAATATACTGTGAAATTTCATATTTTTTCATTAAACTAATTTTTACCTTTTTCTTAAACACATACATTGATGAAGCATTTTTACAATCATTATCAAGAACATTGCACAGTCTAATTCCTTGTACAGACGTGCAGCGTTCCTTCAAACTTGTTCGAATTTTAGGCTTCACAAATAATTCCAGTCCATTGAGATTATAATTACTGACTCTCTTTATGAAGTGTAATTGAATATTCCAAGGTAAAACATTTGTATGAGCTCTAAACATTATTTGTAGGAGTCCATAATCAACCAGTTCGTCAAACTTCAGTAACTTTAATTGTTGAAACAATATGTTAGATGGATGACTGAAATGTTTTCTTGTAATGATCATTAGGACCTCACTCTTTTCACTACWACTTCTCACTACTTTCACCTCACTCACTCTACAAATATCATTTCCATCAATTTTAAATGAAGCATCAACTATTATTCTTTTATTACTAAATATCATATAATTTGTTTTTTTCAAATTTAAAGACAATTTGTTAAGGCCAAACCAAGTCTGTATTTTTACAAATTCTGTTTGCATTATTTCTAGCATTCGTTCTAAATTTTTTCCCAAACAAAAAAAATGTGGTATCATCTGCAAACAAAACACATTTAAACAATCCCGACACATTAACCAAATCATTTATGTATAAAAGAAACAACTTTGGTCCAAGCCCAGAACCTTGTGGGACCCCACACGTATATTATCAAATTTAGATCTTCATTCATCCATTTGCACAAATTGTTTCCTATTTGTCAGATAGCTGGACACCCATTGTAAAACTGGACCTCTCAGGCCATATTTGTTTAATTTACGAGAAGAATGCTGTGATCAATTGTATCAAAGGCTTTCTTTAGATCAACAAAAATACTAATATAATATTGTTTTTGATCAATAGCTGTAGCTATTTGTTCTATAAAATCCATGAGTGCCAGTGATGTTGAATGTTTAGCTCTAAAACCATATTGATTGTTACTCACAATACTGTGTGTGGTCACTGGTGGGGCTCTCCTGGTTCTCTCCTGTGGTCCCCTTTGGGGGGAGGGTGGGCGGCCCTTCCGGCACAGGTGTCTCTGGGGCTCCGCACTTGACGTCCCTCTCGRGGTCTTTGGCGCTGGTCTCCGTTATGTCAGGTTCCGGCTTTGCGGGTTGTGTCTGTGGTCCTCCACAGTCACTTTGAAACATTCCGTTGGAGAGATCTTGTATATACATGCATGCTCACAACCGCACACAAACAGGTGTTTACATCCTGGGTTTTCTATTCGGACAATGACTGAATGGTATGTGCATATGTCTATGTATGGATATATATGTGTATGTATATATATATGTGTATGTATATATATATG